TGAGAAGGCAGCTCTTTCCAGTCATATTCTGGGTGCTTTCCAACATACCCAGAATGTACTCTGGGCCACCTCACGCCTGTCCTGTTGGGATTTCTCAAGTGTGAACTCCAACTTCACAAATACATGTTTTTTTGATTACTGGAGAAGAAAAAAAAAGCAAAAAAGGAGAGCTTTCAAATTCTGATCCTCAAGTGCTCAACACACACTGGCTCGTTTTGTGATGGCTTTCTTGAAAACCTTTACTGGACCTGTATTGAAAATGCCCGGAAGTCTGACGGTGTCGTGGGAACACTGCATATCTCAAACACCATGCCTGCTGCTCTGGGGTTGACCCTGACTCACAGGGATCCCCAAAGGACAGAACAGAATGTCCAAGAGTGCTTCCAAGACGGTTTTTGCTTTTCCTGTTTGAATTTCATTTTTTTTGGTGTTGAGAATATGTATGGCAGCAGAACAGTTCTTCGGCTTCTCCATATGCAAAATCTAGGGACGCTGAGGGAGGGCTTGGAGCCGCGTAGCCTTTCCCATGCTGCTTGTGTGACTTGTAAGGTTGTCATCTGTAAGGAAGCAGATGCAGCTTCCTCTGCAGAGTGGCTGGGCCTGAGCTTCGGCCTCCCAGGAACCCTTCCCCGTAACTCAACAGGGGTCACTTCAAGACTTCAGATTTCTCTTTAGAAAAATTAATATAGATGCATGCATACAAGAAAAATGAGATGGCACATATTACTTACGTATATGCTTTCCTACATTTTCCGACATTTTATAGGCTGCTTAAAAATGTAACGCTGTGCTAACAGCTCTCTGTCAACAAGACTTGGAGGCATCATTTTGGAAACAGGCAAACACAAGTCAGGAGTCAGCAAGTGAAGAAGGAGGCTTTAAATCAGTGGGACAACATGGTGACTAATTCAATGTGGGGACAACTGTCTGGCTCTACTGGGGGTGCAGCTCTTCCCTTGCACCTTACACTGAGGAAGCAGGCGGGCTCAACTAAGTGCACACTGTAGAGGATGCAGGCGGGCACGACTAAGTGACATCGTGGCGTGATGATGGCAGCACAGAGCGCTGATGCCTGATACAGAGACAGCCAACATAAAATGGGTCAAAGGTGTGAGCTTGAGGGAAAAGCAAGTCCCTGCGGCCAAGACACGCAGGGCAGCTCACTCGGCACCCCTGAGAAGTTAAACCTGAGATATGCTGCCTTGTCAAGCCAGTGACAGAAGGTCACTGAGAACCAACAGGAAGAGTCAGCAAACTGGGTGGGGGTGGCTGTGCCGAAGCATCTCCTGTGAAAAAATCCCGAGGGATGCCGATATTTCCCGGTCAGGACTGGGCCTGAGGACACTTGCATGACAGACACACAGGTTCCCCGCATTCTTCTCTTAAAGACCAAGGACAAGGTGTTCCCAGCAGTACTGGACTTGAGGGTGGACATGTTAGTCTCGATGAGTGTCTGTTGAGCACCCCCAACACAGAGCATGGCGGCAGGCTGCGACAGGACACAAGGTCCAACATTACAGCTCAAGCAAACCCAACCTACTGCTGTCGAGTCGACTCCAACCACGGCACCCCCCAGGACAGAGGAGAAGTGCCCACAGGACTCCCAAGGCTGTGAACTGTATGGAAGCAGACTGCCACATTCTGCCCCTGTGGATTAGTTGGTAGGTTTACACAACCAGCCTTTTGGTTAGCAGCTGGGCACCAACAGCCTGTGCCACCATGGTTCCTTTTATAGTCACACACCGATAATTATAAACATTTTGCCCTCAAGAATACACAAAAAGCAGAAACTGTTAACTACAGTTATCTTCCAAGAAAGAAGCTGGAAAAGACTTTACTCTCCATCATGTACCTTACTTAGCACTTGAGGTTGTTTTTCTTTCAAGTGAAACGTTAAAAAAAGAAGACACACAATTACCTCCCGTGACCTACTCAATTTTGGTTTGTGTGCGCATGAATTTTATTGTTGTTAGGAGCCATCCAGTCAGCTCTGACTCACAGCCACCCCGTGCACAACAGACTGAAATACTGCCTGGTCCTGCACCGTCCTGCTGCTACTTCTGATCCTGCTGATGCTGCCTGCCATCGGTGGACCCATCTCACTGAAGGTCATCCTCTCTCACTGACCCTCCACGTTTCCAAGCATGATGTCCTTCTCCAGGGACTGGTCCCTCCTGACAATATGTCAGAAGTATGAGACATGAAGTCTTACCACTTCGGCTTCTAAGAAGCATTCTGGCTGTACTTCGTTCTGCATAGATTTATTTGTTCCTCTGGCAGCCCATGCTACTTTTATTCTTCTCCGCCAACACCGTAAGTCACATGCATCCGTTCCTGTATGGCGTTTCCTATGCCTTGTCGTACTTTCACATGCATAGAGGCGACTGGGAATACCATGGTTTCTTTTACTCGGTAACACTTTAAGGTCTTGGTCAGCAGATCTGCATTCATGAGCTTGTTGTTGTGAAGTGTCATGGAGTCAATTCTAACCCACAGCCACCCTGTAGAGGGTTTCCAAGGAGCAGCTGGTGACCTTGAACCGCCCACCTTGCAGTTCAATTGACTCTGCAGTCTGGCGCATTAGCCCACAGCGCCACCCCAGGGCTCCCATTCATGAGCTTAGGCTCTGCGAGTTTTTTCTTTTAAATAATTGCTTTACAGTGGTTAAAATATTTCTAGGAAAACACCTGCCACTTGACACTCTCACTTGCATGATTCAGGAACATGAACCATATTTAGCATGCTGTGAGACCACCAGCAACAGAAATTCACTATCTGCAAGCAAAGGCTCCCCTTTCCTCTTCCCTGTCTCCTGATGACCCCTACTAGAGACATGTGTCTGTTTCGTGTAAGTGGGGACGTATTTCACTCAATGTGCTGTTTCCAAGGCTCATCCAGGTTGTAGGCGGTAACAGGCCTTTGTTCCTCTGTAAGACCGACAAACTGTCCACTGTGTGCACATGTCCACCAGTGGGGACGCGCTGCTTGTTGTGAAGAAGGCTGAAATGAACACGTTTCTGTGGTTCTGTTTTCACTTCTGAGTCTACGAGGGGGTTTCAAAAAGTTTGTGGGAATGTGGAATTGAAACAAAACGGGAAATTTCCACCAACTTTTGACGCTCTCCCATACACTTAGGATTGGGATTGCTGAGCCACAAGGTTGTTTCCTGTCCAAGTCCTCGAGGAAGCATCCCAACAGCAATGGATGAGGGTTCTACTTTCTCCGTATTCTTGCCAACATGCATTACTCTGTTTTGTTTTTGGCTTGCCTAAATCAAAGCCATTTTAGTAGACGTAAAGGGAAGTGATGTTTCATTGTGTTGGGGTTTGCATTTCCCAAACTAATGACACTGAACATCACTCCATGTGTGTTGGCCATGCTTTCATGAAGTGTCTTTTCAAGTCTTCTGCTCATTTTCGAATTAACTGGATTGTCTACCGTTTTGGTGTAGAGTTGTTGGTGTTCTTTATATATTCAGGACATTAAATCCTTATGAGAAGAATGGTCCATCCCAAAGGCTCAGTTTTTAAATCTGGATTATGTCCAATGCAGTTGTGCTTGCTTTTGGCGTCCTATCCAAGAAGCCATTGTTGAAAAGCAGTTCCTGACAGCTGATCCTGTTCTCTCCTAACAGCTTTAGGGTTTTAGCCCTCCCAGGAAGCTCTTTGGTACATTTTGAGTTGAGACACCAGTACTAGGCTGTTCTGACTACTGTTGTTTTACCATCTATGCTGTGAAATCAGGGAGTGTGATCGATTTAAAAAATCGTAAGTAGACACTGGTGTTTTAACAGGTTAACTAAAAGTGTTAGCCTATCTTTCTTTAAGATACGTGAGAAGCACTATGGCTGTTTTCAGGAGACTCGAAGAGCAGAAAACGAGCTTCTTATCCCTCTGCGCTCGCCTTCTGGCAAGAGCAGCTACAGTGTCTTCGTGGGCCTGGGGGGCCACTGGGAGAATACCCTTTGGGAATGTCCCTCAGGCCCGAACTCTTGCTCCTTAGTCTTGGCAGGGTTGAGGAAGGTGGAAGGGACAGACATGGTTGCAGGTGCTCTTGCACTCTACACACCCCAGTTACGCTCTGGTCAGGACTAACATGTGTGACCACAGGACACATAGGGACGCTCAGTTAAAGTCAAAGGCAACACGTCCTCAGGAGTTGCGTAAGGCTACACATTTTCAAGTATGAATCTTTTTTTTATGACAACTGTCAACTTAATTACAAGTATTTTTGTTCCAAGGCAATTAGAGACATGTGCTGCCGTTACATTTTGTTTAAATAGTTTAGTAGCTACAATCTACACCAGTATATAACCAGAAAAATCATCCAACAGATTTTTAAAAGCAGCATAAAGCTCATCCTGATGTTACAGCACCAAAGTTAGTCCCTGAGAGCAGAAGTGGGTGCAGCGGGTACGCACACAGGCAGGGGCCCTGGGTTAGGACGGGGAAGAAGTCTGTAGCTGTGAACGAGCTTTCATTAACACAGTTCCACTAGAAAATAGACGAGACATAGAGCGTAAGGGGTGAGAGGGTCGGTACTTGCAGACGTTCTGTCGTGAACCTCTGTAGCCATTGCAGAAACCCCACAGTAACGAGGCGCTTCTCTGCTGCCTCACTGTCCACACTTCACACTCACAGCCAGCAAGCAGAGGCAGTTTTGATGCCGTGTCCCCTTATTCCACGAGGCCATGTGGTCGTTCGGAGCATCTAGAGCTGCTGTACACCTGTCCCTCACTGAGCACTGGTTGAGAGCCCTTTCCCATGGGCCTTCCACTCTTGGCTGGAACTGGTTGAGAAACCAGAGAGGCTGCTACTGCATCCTCAAGCCCAGGCCACCCATCCCCTGGGAGCACAGGTATGCGTGTGGGTGCACCAGCCCGCCCGCCCGCCCGCATGGTGTCAGTAACTCTGGAGGAACGCTGAGCTCCATGGCCTGAGAGACATGAGAGTGACACAGAGGAGGCTCAGCCCAGCAGGCAGGCCATCTCCATGACTTACCTCCACAACCAAGGGGCTCTCCTCGACCTTGCTGGCTTCGGCCTCGGCCAGAGGATTTTTTAAGGTTTGTAAGAAGAGCGCAGCTTTCCTTTTACGCTCTGCTTGGAGCTGCTTCTCCTTTGACTCCTTCGAAGCCTGGGCGAGCTTTTCTCGGGCAGCAGCTGCCAGTCGGTCCTCCAGCTTTTGCTTTGCTTCAGGAACAGACAACAAAGAATGACGTTCAGTGCGGGTGTGATTCTGTACCATGCTATACTGTAATTTCGGAGTCCTGGTGTGGCACTGGAGGGCAAGCATGGGACTGCTAAAGGTAAGGTTGGCAGTTCAAAACCACCAGTTGCCTTTAGAACAACTGAGTTGGAACTGACTCAATGGCACACAACACTTTTTACCTTATTTTCCAAAGGCAGCTGAAAGATTGTGAGCTACAAGACAGTTACTACCAAAAAATAAGACGGCATAGATAAACTGACAAATTACTTTTGAGGGGACGAGATTCTACTGTTTTTTTTTTCTGAAACTTTACTTTCAGAACAGTGAGAAGGCCCGTGCCAGTGGGGGCTGGGTAGTGGGCACCCCAGGATGGCACGAGTCTACACCAGGCACTGACTCCTGCACATGGGAGGTGGGGCTGCTGACACACACACATGAAGACAGCGTATAACACAGAAAAGTCCCATCTAGAAATGTGGCAGGAGCCCCAGTGGGTTACACACTGGGCTGCTAATAAGGTCAGCGGTTCAAACCCAGCCACTGCTCCGGTGACATAGGATAAGGCAGTGTGCCTCAGTAACTCTAGGGAGCAGCTGTGCGCTGACCTGCAGGGATCACGTTGATGACAGTGGCTCGGGTGGATTTGACAGAAAAAGCCATCAAAGAAAATCAGTCAGAGTGGGTTACGGTAACACGTGCCAACACTGACGAGCTCGGTGGCTCTGCGCAGGTTCAGAGTACCCCCACCTGGGCGGCATTAGGATGAGCTGGGCGGCAGTCCCGAGGTGCAGCGCTTCTCCGTTAGGACAGAGCCTTGGCGCATCCCCACGGCCGGCCCTCACTTCTCAGGCAGAGCTGCCCACGTGCTGACATACTTCCCGGTGTTTGTGGCTTAGTGAGAAGAACCACGAGGCTGAGGGTCACCTACACACCTTGCTTGGCTTCCAGCTCCTCCTGGGTTAGCTGAGGCTTCTTCTCCTCGGCCCCCACGCAGGGCGGGGCCACTGCTGGGCTCACGTGGGCAGTACTGCCAGAGCTCTCCTGGCCTTCTTTGCTTTCTTCGTCATCGTCACTGTCGTCATCTAACTTAACACGGTTTTTCTCCAGGGGAAGCAGATCATTCTCTTTGGCCTTGATTGCGAAGCTGATTGGAGCAAAGGAAGCTATTGAGAGAAGGTGAGAGGGCAACACATTGTAAGGAAACGAGAGCTGCGGAGGTGCCCACATGCCCCACCATCTGCGGGAGGCGAGGGCATGGCTACAGCCCGTGTTCACGGAGGGTGCTCACACTCAGGGCCGAATTTTCAAACCATCTCGTCTCCCTTCTCGTTTCTGCAGGTGGAGGGGACTCGGCAGGTATATTAGGTGGGCTACAATCTGAAGACACGCGAAAGTCCTTTTCCCAAAACAAAAATGATTTCACAGGGGAAGCTGGGTCGTGTATGGGGTGTGGGGGAGAGGTCACTGTATACTGAACTGTTTTTGTATGTGTTTGACATGTCACAAAAGAAAAAGAAAGTTTAACAAAATTAACCCTTTATTGCCTATATAGTAATGTGGTCTCTCTAATATACAGAGGACAAAGGAAATTTTAAAAAATCAGAGAAATGTTCATTTACAATGTTGATCAAAATCGCTCAAGTGAATGGGTGTGAATCAAATGTTTAACCGCCGAGTTGGAAGCGACTCAGCGATACTTAACAACAACATTCCTAAACCATCTCTTACCTCAAATTAAGAAAGTAACTCAATGAACGAATACAGTAGTAACAGCTTGAGGGTCCCCGCCTCAGGGTAACCCTCAGTGGGAAGCCGGGCATTTAGCAGCTCAGATTTAAGGGTTCCAGAAGCAATGTTAACAGTGTGTGTGAGGTGATCTGGTAGAGAACAGACTGCCTTGTCTCCTTAAAGCCTGTGGTCTTCTGAGACACCCATGAGGAGGTTCCCATTTACAGACGAGGACACAGGCTACAAGGTGAGTCAACTGATAAGCAGGGTATTAGGGATTCACTTCTTTCATTGTTGTTAAGTTGGCTCTGACTCATAGAGACCCTGCATAGGGTTTCCAAGGAGTGGTTGGTGAGTTTGAACCGCCAACCCTATGGTTCAAACTGACCTTGCGGTCCAGCGCTTTATCCCACAGGCTCACCCCAGGACTCTTGGCTTCTTTCATAGCACCATTCAGTTAAGTTGTTGTTGTTATGTGCCGTGGAGTCGGTTCCGACTCATAGTGACCCTGTACAGGGTTTCCGAGGCTGTAAATCTTTACGGGAGCAGAAAGCCTCATCTTTCTCCTGCGGAACAGCTGGTAGTTTTGAACTGCTGACCCAGAGGTAGGTTAGCAGCCTAATTCGTAACCTCTACACTTTCAATAAAGTAAATATTGCTTTTTTCCTCCAATCTTTGTTTGCAAATGCACCACCACTTAGCACCAGCACTTCCTACAGACCAAAATGGCCCCCAAGGCCCTGGGGACACAGGCCTTCCTCTCTTCACTATGCGGCTCTCTGCTCTGAGCTTCTGACAGCTGTCACCACACCAGGTCCTCGAAGCCTCACAAGCATGCCCTACCTGCCTGCCCCTCTCATGCCTGCTCTTCCTCATCCTCTAAGGACTGCCCAAACGTCACCTCGAGCCAGCCTCTCTGTGCTGCTCCCGTTCATCACAGCTACACTCGGGGGCTAGCTGATGGGCAGTATGGGGCCCTAGGTGGGGGTCACTGTGGGGCTGAGGCACTGAGGGACCCAGTTTGGTTCCCAGTGAGAACTGACCACATCCTGCACCTCACCACTAACAGCACCCAGGCTTCCTCTGTGGAACTTCCAACGTCATTAGTGAGATACTTGTTTTTTACTCAGTAAGATTTGTGATGGGCAGAGATGATGTAAATCAAAGCTCGACGGCAATCCTGATGTGGGGAAATGGACTACACAGCAGCAGCGGGCATTCCCAGAGATGTATGCGCAGCCGCACAATTTACAACGATGCTGGGTTCATTCAGTGAGGAACAGCCGTCCACAGAAATACGAAGGTGAGTGAAAAGGCATTGTTACAAAACTGTAAAATACGAAATAAAATACTAACATGGGAAGCTACTGTTTCTCAACAGATCTTCCTTGTAGGTTTATACACTGCTGAAGGTGGTGTTTCCATCTCTCTAACCCGAGTCCTGGTTGTGACACTGTGGGTTAATGCACCAGACTGCAAAGCCAGTTTGAACTACAAGGTCAGCAGTTCAAGCTCACCAGTCGCTCCCAGGTTTGCTAAGGGTCAGAACCGACTCCATGACACTTAACAACAACAACCCCTTCCCCAAAGCTTGCTGCACACTTTGATTTATGCCACCTCAAAATGGGACTCATGGCATCCTTGAGGAACTCAAATACGGCATAGATAAACTGACAAATTACTTTTGAGGGGACGAGATTCTACTGTTTTTTTTTTCTGAAACTTTACTTTCAGAACAGTGAGAAGGCCCG